CATTTTCATCTTCTCTTAGCCTTTGAGCATGGGTGTGATCCCAATAATTCTGATCTCAGCTGGTGTGTTGGGTCCACTGACACTGAGCGGAATCTGTGACACGTCTGAAATTCTTGGCTTTTTTTGCTGTTGCTCCACCCTATCATGCTTCTTTTGTCCTCATTTTTGTCTTTTAGCTTTTGGTTTATTCCCCCCTTTATTTAAACACCATGGTTTATAAAGTTGTTCATGAAACATTTGTTTCAGGCATTTAATATCCCCAAGACCAATCCCACCATCGGTGTGATGTTCCCTACTCACTGGCTCCATTTTCTTAATCACCCCCCAAGTCTGCCCCTTAGCCAGTCCAAAATGATTTGTTTTATATTGCTTGCTCCAAATAATGGATAATGAAATTGTTAAAATGTACTTCAGTAAAAGAAAATTTGTGAAAATTGTTATATCTCACCATGGGGTCATTAAGTCATTGTCTGAGAGTTTACTAAGCTGTTCATTGCTAGTTGAACCTTCTGTGTTAATGGTTTTGTTTATTGGGCTTAGTTGGTTTCTATGTTACTTTCCATTTAATTTGGTGTACCCCTATGAGCTGCAGGTTGACTTTAGGTTGACCTTGCGACCACTCATGAGTGATAGCACAACGGTAGGGCGTTTGCCTTGCATGCAGCCAACATGGCCGACCTGAGTGCGATTCCTCCGCCCCTCTCGGAGAGCCCGGCAAGCTACCGAGAGTATCTCACCCGCAGGGCAGAGCCTGGCAAGCTCCCCGTGATGTATTCGATATGCCAAACACAGTAACAACAAAGTCTCCAATGGAGACGTTACTGGGCCCGCTCGAGCAAATCGATGATCAACAGGAGGGTCTTTACTTTTACTTTACTTTACCCCTATGAGAGTGTCAGTATTGTAGAATTTGAGGTGTTGAGTGGCAGCATGATTCAGAAACTCCAGAATATTTAACTGGGCCTGGAGTTCACACCATGGTGGTTGTGTGCTGTGGGTGTGGCTGCTGGAGCTTCTGCAAGTACAGGAGGGTTGGGGGAGGCTGCTTGTCTCCACTCTGAGAAAACCCCATAGTTCTCAGCCTGAAAACTGGTGTACCTGGAATTTTCAACAGTTTAGGTCTGCAGAACTCAGTCATGAGGTGGTGGAGTCTGGCTGTTGGTATGGCTGCAACTGTGGGGTTTGAGTGTGGTTATTGGGGCATGGTGGGGACTTGGCCTGCCCCCTTCTGGGGGCACCCCAGACTTTTCATCAAGGAGATTGATGTACTCATGTATTTTTGTGGCTTGTTGATCTCTGCCAAGATTTAAAGGTGAATCTGTAAAGCTGGGCCAATGAATGAGCTTTTATGGCCATGGTTGTGGGATGTGGGTTATCTTTTCTGCTTTTGTATGGTTGTTTTCTTATGTATACTTTTTTTGGTTTATTGAATCACCATGAGTTAGAGCATTACGAAGCTGGCTGGATTTCAGTCATACTATGTTCCAACACCCACCCTCCACCAGTGTACATTACCCAGAACCAATATCCCCGGTTTTTCTCTATTTTTACACTTAACCCTACTTCTGTTGCCTTGATTATTATCATAGAAATGATCTAATCAACCTGTAAAGTCCATTAACCCAGAACCCCTGGATGTACTTGGAGCTCCTCTCTCACTGTGAAGGCTTCAATGGTTGAGGAGCGACTTCCTCCTTTGTTCCTCCAGTGCCTTTGTGGTTGTCACTTTACTTCAGCACCTGGTGCCTGCTTCATCCTTTTCCCCCTCAGTATCTTGATTTTCCCTCCTGGTCATCCCTTCTTTCTGCAGGTCATCCCTTCTTTCTTTCTTTCTCATCCCTTTATTTCTCCAGTTCTCTATGTGGCCTGTCATAGGCTCTCTGCCTCTTCACATCTGGAGATGCCAAGCAACCCCTAATTTCTGGCTGCCTCACTGATGGAAACTCAGGTCAGGCCCTGCCTGCTGAGCTGCTGGAACAGCAGGCAGGGGCTCAGTGCTGGTCATTGCTGGTCTCAGAGCCTTGAGGCTGGTCTGTGCATGAACTAGGATGTTAAGGTGGAACTTTTCCATCTGGATTTTGCTGAGGCCCAAATACAGCAGGCAGAAACTCCACCCAAGTCTAACACTGAGGCCTAAAGCAAATGCTGTATAAGCGAGTTCTGGCACCCCAAGAGGGCATGCTCCCTCCCCCTCCTACACAAGCAGCCCCTGAGGGCCAGTGGGCATGCAGGGCACCTCTGCATGCACAGAGCCCAGAGCCACTGGACATCTCTACAGGCAGCCCCATGTGTGTGAGGTGCAGGATCCTGTGAAGAGATGGGACCTCCACAGCCCCAAATGGCTAGTGAGTCCTCTCTCAGGAGGGTTCACTTCAGTGTTCTCCTAGGATGCCCGTGTCAGGGAGTGACTCCGGAGGCTGCTTCAACCCCGACACAGGTTCCCTCAGATGCTCAGGAAACAGAATTCGTGGCACAGGATGAAAGCAGGACTCAGGGCTTAGGACACAGGATGCAGGACACAGGGCTCAGGATGCAGGACATGGGACACAGGGCTCAGAATTCAGGACATGGAACACAGGGCTCAGGACATGGGATGTGGTATACACGGCTCAGGATGCAGGATGTGGGACACAGGGTTCAGAATGCAGGACATGGGACACAGGACTCAGGACACGGGACACAGGGCTTGGGATACAGGAGACAAGGCACAGGACTCAGGATACAGGACATGGTTCTCTGCAGCCATAGAACACTGGGACAAATCACTGTACCCTAGGACAGAGACACTGGCTGCTGCCACTCATCCCTACCCCCAGGGCCCAGTCAGGGAGCCAGGACAGTGTGGGGCTGGTGCAAGGACAGGAAGATGCAACTGAGCTCAGACTAATGCTGGACTGAATGTAATGAGGCTTCCGGTATTGTCCCTCAGGCCTCCAGGCTCTCACTACAACTAAGGGTCTCTCTGCTCCCTATGAGGTCATCTGCCTGTGGCCCTGAGCATGTCCCATGTCCTGTAAATCTGCTTACCCCCAGCCTCTGGCCACATACTCCAAAGGTTGTCCAACATCAACCCAAGGATGAGTATGGCTGCTCACTACCCCACTGAGCTGCAGTGCTGGGTATCCAGTACAACCCACAATCACAAGGGCTCCAGTATAATCACACCCCATGTGCTCACAATCATGGGGGCCCTAGCACAATCCACCTGCACATGCTCACAATCACAGGCTCCCCGGTATGACCACACCCCATGGGCTCACAATTACGGGACCCCAATATAACCACACCTCATGTGTTCACAATCATGGGCTCCCAGGAGATGAGACTAGCTGACCATGGTCACCCCATTTGTACTGCTACACCCTCCATGCCTCCCAGACCGCAGATGGCCACTGTGTCTGACACCACAACTTCAGTCTCAGAACTGTGGAAAGTCCCTTGTGCTGTCCTCATCAAACACCTGCAGAGATGTCCCCTGGGAGCCCATGGCTCTCAGGCCCAGGGTACCACTGGCCTGAGACTGCTGTTTTCAGGTTAAAAACTGTGTCACCTGAAACTGTTTCCGGCGGTGACAGAAGCAGGAAGACTTCCAGCCTGCAAGTGTTCTCTCAACGCTGTGAGGACCCATAACCAGTGCAGTAATCCTGTAGTCCTAACTGGCCGACCAGGGACCACATTTGTCCCATGGCATCCCCTACTCAAAGAACTATCAAGTAGGGAAGAACCAAGAATCCACGGCTCAGGCAGGCAGAGGGACAGAGCAGAGGTGGGGACACAGGCAGGGGACCAGTCAGAGCAGAGGCAGGGGGACACATGTAGGGCCCAGTCAGAGCTGAGATGGGAGAACACATGCAGAGCCCAGTCAGAGCAGAAGTGGGGCCCAGTCAGAGCTAAGATGGGAGATCACACACAATGCTCAGTCAGAGCTGAGACAGGAGGACACACATGCAGGCCCAGTCAGAGCTGAGGAGAGAAAAACACATGGGGGGGCCTGTCAAAGATGAGATGGTAAGAAACAGCCAGAGGCCCAGTCAGTTCTGAGGTAGGAGAAGGACACATGCAGGCCCATGGGTTTGGGGCATCAAGCAAGGAGACACATACGTTTCCACAGGGTCAGGGCACTGCACTGTGAGGGGCACACGTAGGGGCCTAGAGCTGAGGTGAGACAGATGCACAAGCCCCCAGGATTGGCAGTCCTGTGGGTGAGAGATGTCAGGGTCAACTGCCAGCAGGGATTCTAGCACTGATGTTCCCTGGGAGCCAAGGGCACTCAGGTCCAGGATCCCACCACCTGGGAGTGCTAAGAACAGAGGGCGTGGATCAAGGAGGTTGGGCATGCTGAGTGCAGAAGGGGTTGATAAGGAGAGTATGAGGGTACTGAGTACAGACAGGGTGGATCAGGGAAGTATGGGGGTGCTGAGTACAGACGGGGTGGGTCAGAGGAGTATGAGTGTTTTGAGCAGGGCCACAGCAAAGCCAGACCTAGGTATGCACGGGGCAGAGGGAGGCTGTGGGGGGATTCACACAGCAGTGCTCCAAGAGGCATCCAGTCAGAGATCTCAGATGCAACCCCACAGGAAGAGACAGAGAGCAGGATACCCCCACTGATAGCTATGGACAGCTAGGTGAAACAGTGTGATCCTCATGAAAATGCTTCCTTGCCCTGGCCATCCCAAGAGTAGCCTCTGTACCTAGATGTCCTCAGCATCCACCCTCTCAGGAACTTCCTGAGACTGCCTGCTTTCAGGAGCTCTTGTTCCTTCCCCCAGTATTCTCTGAGACAGCAGCACCCAGCCGACCTGCCTCCAGGTGTTCCAGGTGCTGTCTGTAGAACACAGCCCAGGTGACATCCAATGACACGGTAAGACCTGGGTTCCCAGGTGAGACTTGGGTTCCAGGTGAGACCCAGCAACACAGGTGGGACCAACCCCAGGTGAGACCTGGGCCCAGATGAGGCCTGTCACGTAAGACCAGGACCCGGGGAAGCTTTGAGCACCTACCTTGGAAGAAGCTTCTCACCCTGAGGTAGCTGACACTGAGGCGCAGCACAGAGAGCTTGTCCAACTTGGAGATGACATCAGGAGGAAAGGGTAGCAGGCTGGCCAGGTGGTCCAGCTCAGCATTGAGGCGGTCCCGGTGCCGCTTGGAAGGGTTTGACTTCTCTGCCTCCACAGTAGGTCTTCTATGGGAGACATCACAGTCAGACTCAGGCTCCTGGCCAGTACCTGCCTGAGTGCCCACAGGCAGGGCTCAGACCTACTGCTACACATACCCAAAGGGCTGAGACTAGCCTGAGCCTAAAGCCAGATACCAGGAACATTTGTCCTTTGAGTGAAACTGTGAGATCCAGCTTATCTCTGGGTTACTTCCCTAATGCAGTCTGCAATATGATCCATGTAATTTTGGGGAAAGGGAGCAAGGGAGGGAAGAGAGAGGAGGGGAGAGGCGGGGAGGGTATTTAGGCAGAGGGGCTGGCAGGGAAAGGGACCAGAGAGGAGGGGAGGGCAGGGAAGTGGAAGGGCTTCCCTGAAGGGCCATGCTGCTCAATGGTTAGCTCGTCTTGGGTTTGGAGGCTCCTGGGGTTTTGAGCACATGGGTTTCTTGCCCAGAGATTTTTCTGTTTCCACTTAAAATGTCCCTTGAGCAGTCTGCACAGTGTGGAGAAATTGCCTCTCTGTTCTGTTTTAGCACTTTGGGATAGACCTGAAGCTGTAGGCCTGAGGCCCATGCAGTTACAGGAACCTGTTGCCCCCATCTCAAAGCAAAGTCTATTTCAGTGAAACCTATTTCTGCTTTGAGGGACTCACTGGGTACTGTGCTCCGTGGGTACTGTGCTCAGTGGGAACTCTGCTAGTGGGTACTATGCTCAGTGGGTGCTATCTTCAGTGGAGTATTTGCTCAGTGGGGTACTATGCCCACTGACTGGCTGGGAGAAGCACCCCTTTTGGTTAATAGAGACCTGTCGCCTATCCAGAAAGCAGGAGAACACAGGGGGAAGGTGTGGGTCCAGCAGGGAGAGGCAGTGAGAGTCAGGCCTGTGTATAACCATAGAGCAGAGGGCAGTGAGCAGCACATCCTCAGGTGGGAGCAGAGTGCACTTGTCAGGTGGTACCCAGGTTTGAATTTAGGCCCTGGCAGAGCCAGGTATGTGCCCCCGCCCAGAACCATGTCCTCAGGCCTGAGACTGAATCTCTTTTGTGATAGCAAGTCATCCCCAGACCAATCTGGAGATTCAGTCTCAGTGGAAAGCCCAAGAGGACTTTTCCAAACAAGCTGCTGTTAGCAATCTGTGTAAACATGCAAAGGCCCTATCAGAATAGGCGATGACAAAGCTCAAAACTGGAGGATCAGGAGGATTCGAAGCTTCCTCCTCACTACAATAGTCAAGGTACTTGGGAATTAGAAAAAAAAAGAGAGAGATTTAAATGGAAGGTGCAGAGCAAGAGTCTAGGAACAGGCCCAGATTGCAGAGGCTGTTCGAGGCTTTCTCTGGAGAAGAGCCCAAGAAAATCAATGATTTACTGGAACCAACACTTGACCAGAGACAGAGTGTCCACAGTGCTGTGTTCCAGTCATAGGGAGCACAGCTGAGCAGATGGTACAGTACTGGTCACGAGGAGCACAGAACCTGTCACAGGAAGCACAGCTGAGTAAATGGCACAGCACTAGTCTCAAGGAAGCACAGAACCAGTCATGGGGAGCACAGCTGAGTAGATGGCAGAGCACTGGTCACAAGGAGCACAGCTCTAGTCACAAGGACCGTAATCCTGTTACAGGGAGCATAGCTGAACAGATGGCACAGCACCAGTCACAGGGAGCATAGCTGAGTGAGCACAGCATTGGTCATGGGAAGCCTAGCACCAATTGTGTGGAACTCAGCACCAGTCATGGGGAGGACAGATGTGTGAGCACATCACTTGTCATGGGAAGCACAGCACCAGTCACAGGGAGCGTGGCTGGGTGAGCACAGCACCAGACATGGGGAGCATAGCTGTGAGAGCACATCACTAGTCACAGGGAGCACAGAACCAGTCATGGGGAGCACATAACTGGTCACAGAGAGCACAGCACCAATACAGAGAGCATATCATTGGTCATGGGCAGCAGCTGCATCCACCACCGGCCATCCTGTGGCACTGACCTCACTCTGGAGACTCAGGAGTTCATGTCCTGTGTCCAGGAAGAGTGTCTGGTGGCTTCTTAAAAAGCTGACACTGTGTGACCGAGCTTTTCAAGAAAACAGATCTAGCCAGACATGCACAAGGCCAGCAGCTTCTTCCTAATAGTACCCTCATGCTCAGGCATGTCCATGGGCCCAGACCCTGTGCAGTCTGGTGTGAGGCTGCAGTTCACACTCCTCCCTGTGTAGAGGAGACCCTGGACACAGCATGAGAGACTGCTGGGCATGGAGACAGGGTAAGAGCAAGTCTGTGAACAGCACTCCAGAGAGGAGGCGGGGCTTGTGGTCTTGAGTCCATAGTCTCTGATGGGCATAGACATCAATCCAGCACCAACACGTGAAGATGTGCAGTCATGGGAGGATACTCATACAGAACAATGCGGGCTACAGGAGGAAGCTGCAAGGGAATGGTGTAGGAAGTTGCACATGGAATAATGCAGGCCATCGGACAAAGCCACAAGTGAAGCAGTTCAGGCCATAGGAGAACACCACATGTGGAACAGTACAGACCATAGAAGGAAGTCATAAGTGAAATGGTGCAGGCCGTGAGAGGAAGCTACATGTGAAATGGTGCAGGTCATGGGAGGTCACCACATGCTGCTGCATTGTTGGTGACCATGTGCTGTTCTGTGTACACCAAACAGCTGTAATCAAGTCTCATAGGATGCCACGTACACAAGGGGCCAGAGTAGAGCACTGTGCAGTGGGCCTTCCCATATACTGCATCCAGTCACGGTTTTCCTGTGGTAGCCTCAGCCCAGGAACCAGGCATCCGGGAACCATGGCTCCAGCTTCTGCTCATTCCAGGCCAAAATTCCTCTTCAAACTGTCAGTGGCTGCCACTCATGGAAGTCTGGGGAGGCCCAGAGCACCCCTGCATGACCAGTTGCCTGGCCTGACCCACAGCTGGGATGCAGAGAGGAACCAGGAGGCCTGTGGGCTCCAAGTCTGCAATCAAGCTTCAAAACCTCAAGTCCCCAGCACGACAACTCCTAAACATGTACCCAGAGAGGTGCATTGCACATGGACCCCATGCACATAGACACATGCAAGCTCCATGCACATGGACGCATCAGCACCACCCACCACCCCATGCACATGGACTCATGTCAGCACCACCCTCAGCCCTATGCACACAGACACATGTCAGCACCAAACACATGCACACATGTCAACACAGGTGAAAACCCTGTGTATACAAACACATGTCAGAACTATCCATAGCCCCATGCACATGGACACATGTCAGTCCCATGCTCGTGGACACATGTAAGCACTGTTTACAGCCCCCCAACATACATGGGCACATGTCCGATACCCACAATCCCCTATGCACTTGAACAGATACATGTCTGTGCAAGCCACACTCCCCCATGTACATGGACATATGTCTGTACATACTACAGTCCCACACACATGGACACATATATGTACAACCACAGTCCCTTATGCACATGGATAGGTAAAGGTAAAGGTAAAGGCCCTCCCGTTGATCGTCGATTTGCTCGAGCGGGCCCAGTAACGTCTCCACTGGAGACTTTGTTGTTACTGTGTCTGGCATATCGAATACTCTCGGTAGCTTGCCGGGCTCTCCGAGAGGGGCGGAGGAATCGAACTCGGGTCGGCCATGTTGGCCGCTTGTAAGGCGAACGCCTTACCGCTGTGCTATCGCTCCAGCCCTGGATACATGTTTGTATATATCACAGTCTCCCATGTACACATATCTTCTCATATCATAGTCTCCCATGTACATGGAGACATGTCTGTACACCCCACAGTCACCCATGTCCATGAACACATATCTGTATGCCCAAAGTCCCTCATGTATATGGACACACGTCTGTACAACCACAGCCCCTCATGTGCACAGACATACCTCTGTACACCCACAGTCCGTCATTTATTGGACATGGACATGAGTCTGCTAAAGCAGGAAAGGAGATGAGTTCAGACCCCACAGCTCACAACCCTTAGATACACCTCTGCACAAATGACCCTGGGCAAGTGCTGTTCAGGGACACTCTGCAGGTCCCGAGGGAGATGTAAGAAGCTCAGGACATTCTGTGTCCCCACCCCGGCTCTGACCCCCCAGTGGCATCGCGGCTACACAGGACAGACTTGGACATGGGCAAAGTGCAGAAGTTGCTCCCTCCAGTGAAGTGGGGAACCTGCCAGGGCCCTCACAGTCAGAGGGAGGGTGGCGTCTGCAGCCCTGGCTCTTGCTGTGGGCAGCTGGCTTCCACCCTGATGTCCTTCCTTGCCTTGAAATTCCTGTTAGAGCTACCCTTCCTTCCCCCTTCCTCCTCCCCTTCCTCTTCTCTCTCTTCTCCTCCTCCCCTTCACCTCTTTTTCCTTCCCCCTTGCTTCCTCCTCCTCCTCCCCTTCATTCCCCCCTCTTTTTCTTCTTTTATTCCCCTTTCCTTTCCCAGTTCCATCCCCACATTCTGCCCCCTTCCTTCCGGCTTCCTCCCCTTCTTCCCCCTACCTCCTCCCCTTCCTTCCTCCTTCCTTTCTGTATCTTTCCCTTCCCTCCTCCCCTTTATCTCCCCTTTTATCCTTTTACCTTCCCCCTTTTCTCCCCTCTTCCTCCTGTCTTTCCTCCCCTTCCCGCCTCTCCTCTTCTTCCCTCTTTCCTTCCTTCCTTCCTTCCTTCCTTCCTTCCTTCCTTCCTTCCTTCCTCCTCTTCCCCTTCTGCCCTCTCTTCTTCCCCTTCCTTCTCCCTTCCCTTTCCCCTTCCTTCCCTGGTTTCCTCTCCCTTTCCCCTTCCTTCTCCCCTTCCTTCCCCCGCTCTCATCTCCCCTCCCCTCCCCTCAGCCCTCCCTCCCTCCCTTCCTTCCACCCTTCCTTCCCCCATTCATTCTCCTCACCCACCGCTTCTGTATGGGTTTCCTCCTCCTCCTGCCAGCATACGTGCACTCCCCTGGTGGAATCATCCTCTAGGCAGAGAGACAGAGAGAAATAGAGGGAGAGGGAGAGAGAAGGTAGAGGGTTCAGACCCTGCAGCCTATGCCCCATAGGTGGGTGCCACCCCATTCCCTTCCATGGAGTCCCGGTTCTTACCCCCACTAGATAGTGAGGGTGAGCACTCCACCCACGATATTTCGACCCCCAGAGTGACCTGAGTGCCTATACCAAGCTCCTACATGGAGGCAGCCTGGGCCCTGGGAGTGGGAGTGGGGAGCCCTGTGAAGTTCAGGAGAACAGGAAGATGTGGGGGAACATCAGGAAGGGGTGGGAGAGCACTGGGGACCTGGGACAGTGTGGAATAGCATCGGGCAGGTGTGAGGGAGCACAGTGAGCACGGGGAAGTCATGGGGAGTACCAGGACCCCCAGGAGGATGTGGGGTAGCAGTAGGAGCCACAAGCAGGTGTAGGGAGGCCTGGGAAGGTGTGGAGCACCGGACATGTGTGTGGAAGCATGGAGAGCCCTGGGCAGATGTGGGGGTGCACCAGAAACTCTGAGCAGATGTACCTCAGGTGAGCCATAGGTGCAGGCTGTAGGGGGTCTGTGCAGGGATCATCAACCACTGTTCACCAAGGCTTGTGTATCCCTGGTTTTCTTTCTCTTCCCACCATTCCTGCAACCACAGCCCCCTCCTCTACAAATCAGCATCCTTTACAAATCAGATGCTGGGCTCAGCATCCCAGTGATGGCTTCTGCTTGGACCCTGCCCCAGTATCTCCCAGGTGACTGATTGCCATGGCCTCTATCAGCAACAATGTGGTCAGATGACACCGTGTTCCCTGAGGCACATTGAACCCCGTGGCCCAGGGGGATTGGGACATCAGAATCTTGATTTTTCCAACCCCCTACAGACCAGGTGCAACATCTGCCTTGTATGCATTCCCCAGCCCCATAAAGGCTGGACACTGAGGTAGTGAGCACCACTGCCCTATGCACAGAGCTGAGCCCGGCAGATATGCCATCATAAAGAGCAGTCATGGAGAAGGGAAGATTGACTGAGAGGGTCTGTCTGCAAAGCTCGGGAAATGCAGCATGATCAGGATCAAGAGGGGTACTATGGAAATACAGAGGGTCTTTCCCAAGAAGATACAGACCCCGGAACAGGACCTCAGGACACAGAAACAATGGGACCGTTGGGGATGCCAACAAGTCTCTTAGGAAGGGGAACAAAGCCAGGATGGGGCTGAGTTTACTCCTCTCCTGCTGCCCTTGCTAATACCTGCCTCCTCCGCAGGGCATCCGGGGTACAAACCTTCAACTTCCTGAACTGGTTGCAAAGACCAGGAAACATGCTGAGTGGGTTCTCCCACATCAGTAGAATAAAACTAGAAAACACATGGGAAATTCCAGCTATTTAGGAAGTTTCCCCCTTTTAAATAATGATGGGTCAAAGAAAACATTCTGAAGGAATGAAAGGGAAACAGAGGCGAGGGCATGTGCTGACAGAACTGATAGGAAATGCCAACTGAAGCTTGAGACATCCACTTTCAGCACCTGGAGCCCAAATCAAAGGAAAGTGTAGTTGGAGGACACATCAGCAGAACTGGAAGATGCTCCTGGGAAAGGTGAACAGAATCCATGACCTCTCATCAGATAAACACAAGCCACTGACATAGAGCTCATTAGCCCAGGGAGAGCTGAGACCAACACAGCAGGTTTTCTTGAAAGGTCCCCACCACAGCACAGTCTGACCTCACTGGGCTGCACATGGGAAGGGGCAGGTTGCAGTGTGGGTGCTCAGAACTGTGAGTCAAGAAAGGACCCCAGGTGGCTGCTGGTTGGTCCAGAATGTGTGGTCACCTGCAGTCAGGTCTGTGGGCACCTGGACTGAGATGTCCCCACCACACCAAGGGAAGATTCCTGGGGTCAGAGGTCCCTGTCCACGGTAGGACATTGTGGAGGCCAAGCAGAAAAACGAAAACATAGCCACAAATGCAGTGATTGAGAAACAGATCAAGTCTTTGAAAGATGCAAACTGTCACAACTCACCCAGGAAGAATCAGGTGACTCGTTTAGTCCTCTATCTTTTCCCCAAACAAAGCCCAGACCAGGAGGTCTCCTGATAGACCACTCAAGGAAGGAAGAAGTAACAGACTAGAAAAAATGACAGAACTGAAAATTGCCAATCCACTTCCAAGGTCAGCATTACACCAGTCCAAAACCAGACTTTTCAAGAAAACCTGGACCCATGTCGCTCATCCACAACACATAAGTACACATCAGACCCTCAAAGAGAGCCCACAGAGCTCTTACAAGGCAGTGCCACCAGGTGTGTGCAGGTGCCTGGTACAATGATTCTATCCTGAGAACTCAGAGAAATACATGTGATCCTTTCCCACCCCCCAACGTACAAACACACACACACACACACACACACATACACATACACACACACACACACCTGAGAGAAACTCTCTGGAGCCAGGAGAGGGATCCACGACAATGACTCAAATGCAAACTCCACAGTGAAGGATGTTTGCCCAAGGTCATGGAAACCCAAGGATGCCCTCCAGGGCAGCAGGGAAGACAGTGAGCAGGTCTCAGACCAACCTCTCGTCTCAGGATCACAGCCAATGACATGCAGACAGGGGCCAAGCACAGAAACACCGGCGCCCTCCACCTGCACTGTAACCAAACCTAGAAGGCAGTCCACACTGCCAGTGTGTGTGTGACCCACACAGAGGAGAAGTGGGAGACAGGAGAAATGAGAGCAGAGACATTCCGAGAGCTAAGAAGCCAGCCTGAGCCAGAGCCCACTGTGAGGGCAGGCAGAGGAATCTGGGGGCATCAGGAGAAAGTCTGTAGCTAAGGACTCTCAATGCTCAGGGTTCTGTGGTTCTACGGGACTGAGATGCCATTGAGAGCAGAATCAGGAAGCAGCAGGCCCAGTGTGGAGCTGGGCAGAGCAGACGGGAGTGCTGAGAGGAAGGTGCACTTCACCTTGCTAAGTAGCTAGCACTGGGAGCCCACAGAAGGGAAGAGGCTCCGCTAGAAGCCCTGCTGGGGCTGAGGGTGGGTACAGGGGCTAAGCACCACTGGGGCTTCCCCACACTCTGGGGCTCCTCACGAGGGCTTCTTACTGGAGCCTTTCCTCATTGTGGGCTTCTCACTGGAGCTTCTTATCACGGGAACTTCTCACCAGGGATTTAACCTCACTGGGTCTTCTCAGTGGAATTCTCACCAGGGTGTCTCCTCACCAGGACTTCTCACTGGGGCTTCTCCCTACCAGAGCTTCTCCTTACCAGAGCCTTCTCACCAGGGACTTCTCACTGGGGCTTCTCCTCATCGGAGCTTCTCCTCTCCTCCTCTCCTCTCCTTACAAGAGGCTTCTTACTGCAGCTTCTCCTCACTGGGGGTTTTTCTCTGAGTTTCTCCTTTTAGAAAGTTCCTGACTTGGGTCCTTGGCCACAGGGGTGAAGGTGTTCTTGCCAATTGTCTTGCTCTCCCTTGCTCTCCCTTGCTGAGAAACCCATCTGAAGGTTGCATATCTGTGTAAGCCTGAACCCCAGTTCTGGAAGGGTCACTTCAGAGTCTGCCTCCCCTCCACTGTGACCCCACTGCTGCATTAGCACTTCCTCATAATTAGTGCGAAAGTGCTGGAGGATCCCTTGCTCATGCAAGGTACTGAGTTCCATTGCTGGCACTGCACGACCCACTTCACAATGCTCCACCATGAGTGGCCCACAAAACACTTCTGCCTATGAAAGTCTCATGTCCAGTAAAAAATTAAGATGATAAAAGTTGATTTTTCAGCCCATGTATTTTATAGCTACTGAAACACTTCAAAGAAACTGCAGGTAGCGGCGTGTCTTTGAGTACCTTTCCATAAGCACCAGGCCACAGCTCCCAGTGGGATGCTCACACATATTCCAGAAGTGTCCCTGGCTTTCACCTGTGTTGAGGTGTTTACACAAGCCTGTGTAGGCTGAGTGTGGCTGAAAAACACTTGTGAAGTCCTGGCCTGGAGTGGTAGGGCATAAGTATAGAGATACAGGGGATAGGGTATAAGCTCAGTAGTTTAGTGTGAGAGGCCCTGAGTTTAATTCCTTGCAACAAATACGCACATACATACACATATACAGGCATAGGAAAGAGAATCTTTTAACAGATATCACTGGGACAAGCGTACACCAACATGCCATCATATTTTAAATGTTGGCCATAAAGCCCAAGTACAAGAGTCAAAGTTTGGAAAATTCTCAACAGAAACAGGATTATCTCACAGTAACCTTAAATTTGACATGAGTTCTCAGGCAGCACAAGCAAAGGAAAAATAAGTAGACAGAACCTCATTAAAATGAAGAATATGTCCTTCAAAGAATTCAATCAAGGAAGTGAAGACAGTCCACAGAGGGGTGAATATTCACAAATCATAACTGAAAAGGGCCTAGGATAAATGACAAATAGAGACTCACACAATTCAACAACAGAATACAAGCAAATATAAAGAAAGCCAAGGACTTATTAGGAATTTCTGCCAAAGAAGATAAGTAGTCCGGGGCCAGAGAGATAGTCTAAGGTAAGGTGCTTGCCTTGCACACAGCTGACCTATGTTTGATCCCCAGCACCCCATATGGTCCCCTGAACCTTACGAGGAGTGATTCCTGAGTGCAGAGCCAGGAGAAACCTCTGAGTATTGCTCAGTGTGGCTCCAAACACAAAAACATATATACAGTCAACAAGCACATAGAAAGAGGCTCAAAGTCATGAGAAAAATGCAAACAGAACCCACAATGCAGTACCTGTTCATTGCCATGGGGATTATGAGAAAGAAAGAAAGAAAGAAAGAAAGAAATTGGATGGGGGAGACAGCTTAAAACGTTGAGTGCACACTTTGTCTGAGGGACCCCCAAGTCAGTCCCTGACACTCCATGGTCCTCTTAGCACTGCCAGGAGTCACCCCCAAGCACCTCCAGAGGCTATGACCAGAGTATGAAAATCAATTCAACCATATACCACACAAATCAC